CATTGGGATTGGACTGAGGCTCATCAACCATTGTGCCAGTAGTCGACAACGGTTTCTCTTCAGTCTCAGCCCCAATATCTTCCCGTGCACCAGCCTCCAACTGATCATCCTGAAAGCCTGATTGCGACATCTGAGGCGTTGTCGACATGGCTGTTGTGAAAATGGGGAGTATTTCCTCTTTGGACCAATTTGTTGGTTATAAGATGTGATATTTCTTACTGGGATGATAAGACTACGTGCATGCTGCATGCGACGTGAAACTTGTGGATCTGCAAAACAAAAAAACCTTCTCGTGAATATTTGAGATGGTTTGTTATATGGACGCGCTGCGAGGTGTGTGGGGTATACAGTAAGCTGAGTGATGCTATGCCTGCATGGCTGGAGCATCGGGCCGGACATGGGGAGTGGGCCACGGAGGATCGGAGCGGAGGATCGGAGCGGATGATGACCAGATCCGGGAGCTAACAGGGATTGTGCGTCAGATGAGATGCAGGACAAATACCGTAACCTGGCTTGAGTTATTCCCTCTTGGTTAGAATCTCACTCTGTCAGCACATTAATTATTCCTCGACGTCAAATTTATTCCGAAACTCCACGGCCACCATTTCTCCTCCGTTTGTTTACATTTTTCTCACCCAAGCTTTAGTAATTCCATCAAAACAGACCCTAAATCCATGGCGGACCAGACTACAGAGTGGGGGCCTGGGAAAACACCGCAGGGTAGAGCCCGTCTCCCCTCGAGCAGACCACGCGAAAAGCCGCAGCTTTCATGCAACCTGTGTAGAAGGAGAAAGTACGTATGCAATGCGCTTTGCCGTCTCTCTTTTCCGTTCCTCTCCGCTTTGACCCTCCCCCACGTGCTGACGTTTTCTGCCCTGTTTTTGTAAGACTACGATGTGACCGCCAAAGACCCTGCAGTAGCTGTGTGCAACGAGAGCTTGGGCTGTCGTGCACGTACGCTTCTGACAGAGTCGCAGGAGGCGATGCGGCACACCAGCCTCGTGTAACCACACAGGATCGCATCCGCCACCTTGAGAGTCTTGTTTTCGATCTGATGCAGCAGTCCTCCGTCAGCCAGGGCCATCACGGAGGAGGAACGCCTTGCTCCCCCGTCGGAAGTACCCGTTCCCCCGTGGACACGGCTGTCGCTGCTACACCCGCTGATGATTACGGGAGCATGCAGTCGCGAGGGGCGAACTACGTGGGGAGTTCGCACTGGGCTGCTGTTCTCGACGGGATTGCCGAGCTCAAAGATCATTTCGATAGCGAGGAGGAGGCGGCGCATCCTGATGTGCATGGGGTTGAGTCGCCTGCCGCGGAGATGACTGGCCCGCAGCTGTTCTACGGCTGCCCCAAGCCCGCTAGCAAGGACGAGATACTGGCGTCGATCTTAACCCTAAGCCGCCCGGTAGTAGACCGATTGGTCTCACGTTATTTTAACTCGTTCGAAATGTCTCCCGGTTAGTCATGTCATACAGCTTTGGCTATATCGTGCAACCACGCATGCTGACACCCCGCGCCCAGCCGTGCTACACAGCGTGGAATTCCTCAAGGAGGTACGGAAACACAACCCTAGGACCTTATTCAGATTGACTAATCCATTTGAGCATTAGTACGAAGACTTCTGGAATGATCCATCTGCAGTGTCGCCCCTCTGGTTGGGCCTTTTGTTCACAATCATGTGCTTGGCAACCCAATTCGAAAAGTTCCGCCTCGACCCTGGCGTACAATCCCCCGCGGCTCTTTCAATGGAGAGAGATCTTCAGAAGATGGCGGATACGTACAGGCTACGGATTGGCCAATGCCTTGTTCTTGGCAACTACACCAAAGGCGGGCCATACGTGCTGGAGACGCTTATGCTGTACATAGCCGCTGAGGTGTTTTCGAGCACAGATGCGAAGATCGACATTTGGATCCTAATGGGGAACACGGTTCAGATTGCCTTACATATGGTAAGCTCAGGGTCTCTTTGAGCTTATTCCCGGGCTAACGCGCCCCTAGGGCTATCATCGAGATCCGAAGCATTTCAAGGGCATGTCATTCTTTGCCACGGAAATGCGGAGAAGGGTCTGGGCGACTCTGGTCGAGATGGATCTTGGTCTTTCTGCTCAGATGGGGCTACCAAGAATGATCAAGCAGTGGCAGACTGATACACGGGAGCCGTCAAATCTCCAAGACAATGACTTTGACAAGACAACTATTGGAATGCCCCCGTCGAGGCCAGACACAGAATTAACCCCCATTCTCTACCGTCTTGTCAAAGCAAGATTGACGACAACGGTCGGATATATATGGGACTTTGCGGCTGATGTCCGACCGTACACATACACTGAGGTGGAGAGAATGGATAGCAGACTAGATGAGGCACGCAAGTCGATCCCAGACTGTCTCAAGTGGCATTCCTTCGCCCGCTGCATCACAGACTCTCCGCAGAACATCATGCAAAAGGTCGTTCTGGAAACCTTGTTCTACCGCGCAAAGATCGTTCTCCACCGAAAGTTCATGTTTGGTCCCCCAGCAAACTCTGCTGATTCCAAACGTATCGTCTTGGAGTCAGCACTCAAGCTTCTAGACTACCAGCACATGCTGCAAGAAGAAACACAACCTTTTTGTCAGCTTTACCAAGAAAGATGGAGAGTCTCTTCATTAGTTAACCACGATTTTCTCCTCGCTACATCCGTGTTACTGTTTTATCTGCAGAGCACGAAACGCGAGGGCATGCAGGTTTCTGAGTCAGCGGCGATGGATGAAACCATCCTGGTGTCCCTCAGAAGATCTTACGACATCTGGTTACAGTCAAGCAATTCATCCAAAGAAGCGAGGAAAGTTGTGAAAGCATTGGCTGTAGTCCTCGGAGTCAATAATACCTCAGATGCAGATTCAGGGTTCGACTCGAGCATGTCGTTCGGCGTTCCTTCGGGCTATGCCTCTTCGAGCATCAAAGATTATCAGCCAGGCAAGTCATACACCAGAGAGGAAGTGTTGAAGCTGACATGTGGGGCAATAGAGATTCCATCAGGTCTCGGCTCACAGTTTCCAATGCTTGATGGCACGATGATGCCGAACTGGGCCACGTTTGCGTATGATTTACTGGCTGCGCCGATGGCTACCCCGAGTAATCAGTGGCAAGCAATGGATGGTAAGTCAACCTTGAGAGTCCCACATACTTTCAGGGTTTAATAATTAGATCCGTAGAGACGGTAGATGCAATGGGGTCTCTGACATGGCCATGGAACTTGTAATGACATGCATTGGGTGAGAGGGTGGATAAAATGACATTGGCAAGCAGAATTGGCTTGGAAATAGGCATTTTCGCGGTATTACCGTGATACTCCGCAGGTTGTTGAGGTGCTCACATCCTTTTTGAGGCCAATCACTGCGACCCAAGACATTGAGTGGCAGCTTGGAGGCGCCTGGTTCGTCGTATACGAAAATTCATAGCGAATTCGACCCCTGTAACCTGAGTCTTCTGGCTGAACTCGTGAATGCGGGCCGTCCCGAAACGGCCGATGACGAAAAAGGTCATGACCTGTCAGCGGAAAAGCATCCTGACACCCCACGCATCACTCACCGAGAGCGGAAATGATGAACGAATGATTAACGTTATAGAGTAAGCGGGAACACGTTCATTATGTGACGACTTATTTGTTAAAGTGTCACGAACAATGAACAGACCCGCCTGCAGGTGATGAAATGTAGAGCACAGCCTGGATGGACAGGGGGCCTATCACAATGGATCATCTTATCTGCGGCGCAGTTTCTTGTACGTAGTAAGCGAACAGAAGATTCCGGAGCCGAAGTGTCTTATGTATCCGAGTTGAGCTTCTGGGGGAATGTTTCGAGAATAGAGTCGCTCCGGCTTTCGCGGACGGAAAGTAAACTAAACTTACCATTAGCGGCGGCAGATCGAGGTACCCGTAAGAACTAAGCCACCGAATGCCAACAGGGGTACGAATCCACGTCGTGTCACTGGTTGTCTTGGCAGTACAACCTCGACGACAGAGTGCGGCTGCCGTAAGCTTCTTGGCGTGCAGATTGCGGGATAATACTGAGCTCACACGAGAAGCACATAGCGCCATCTGAGATGCTAGGTCCCGGATTACCCGTGGGATTATCCCATTGGACCGGGGCGGCTTCCGCCGTAAACAAGGTTATGGAGGGGTCTAAGCGAACAATTTTATTCTCAACGTATCGAGACACATTAATCGAGGGCAATCCTTTGCAGAATCAACACATTTTGGATCGTTTAGTGTTGTACAAAAGGTATTTAACCGATGGTGCACTGACAGGTGGATCAGTAACTCACTGTCAAGAGGTCTGAGCAACCAGCCTGCGAATAGACGAATAGACGGGCTGAGACATTGGTCGGACCAACGTACATATTGTTTCACCCTGCTTTGTAGAATATGATATCAGCCCAACGTTGTATCTTTACATAAACACGCGGCGGCAATTATGTATTCCGATATGTCAGCCCAACAACTGCAACCCCGTCAGCCTGCAATCAAGGTTTATGTCGCATCAAAATTAAGCATGTTTGTATCCTTAAATCTGCAGCGCTCGGCTACTGCACCCTTCCCCCCGTCAGGATTGCCATCCGCGCTCTGCCGTCATAGCAAATGGCCTGAGGTCTTTAGAATGCTGACCACCATTCTCGCAACATGACCGCATGCATAAACCTTGCCTCGCATCCTTCTCAAGACGGAAAATCGTAAAGCTGTGAGCAGTTTCTCAGCAACAAGAAGCAAGGATTAATTGAGAGACATACAGGCAAAAAGTGCCTCTCTTCTGGACAATTATATAGGGAGATTCCCGTACGGGCCAGAAAGCTGCTGCCGTTACACTGATCGGTACCAGTGACGTTTGCACTGTGACTATTCTCCTCTTTGTCCCCATGCTTAGGCCTTCCTGCAACATCAAGTTTTTTTGACAGCACACAACATAATTCTCCACGCCCAACCCGACACTTTGGTTAAGCATAACATATCATAGCACACAACATGTCCACGCGGAACAGCCAATCTATCCGGTCTAGCTGCGACCGATGTCGCTCCCACAAACTCAAATGCACTGTTTCCCCAGAGGACTCACGCTCAGGGCCCCATAGATGCACAAGATGTATCAGGGCACAGGTGACATGCGTTTTTGGCCCGCGGAGCCAATCAAAGCGCACTGCCAGTAAGAGCAAGCCCGACAAGTCCAAGCCTGACAGCGAGCCACCGCACAAGAGTTCACCGCCTGTCTGCTCGTCGTCTCTTGCTGGGATGAACCTGGCTTCGCCTGGGGCTTGGACCCCGTGGATCGACGAGCTTGCATGCCAGGAAACTGAGGAGCCGCTTGCTATTGACATCGGCACGACAGGTGATGGCTCAAGCATGAGTGATGGTGACTTCTGGGCGGATCTGGGGATGAGTCAAGGGTTAAATATGCTGGACCTTGCGCCGTCTGGTATGCCGACAAACACTTATCACGCGCAGTATCCGTCTGCTTTTGATCACATTGCTCCAGCTGTTGCTGAGGCTGGGCACTTGATGGACATATCGGAGTCTTCGGAGCACACTCCGCCACACGCCATTGTGCAACTGTCAAATCTCGTAACAAAGATCCACGAGACCTCAAAGTCGCTAGAAGAATCCCCGTGGTCCAATGTTCCCGACGCAAAGCAGCTGCAAAACTACCCAATTGGCCGTGTATTGAACCTATCTCAGGACTTCTGCGCCATCCTTAGCTGTATTTGGGGCACAAGTTCCATCTCCTCCGACGCTCATTCGTCAGGAAACGGGAGTTCTCCAATCCCGTCGGCAGAGATGCTTGACTACGCCGAAGTGCTATCATCTATCAAAATGAACGGTTCCCCCAGACCCGCTTCCGTCGGCATGCCAACGATGCTGCTCGTTCTAAGCTGCTACACATCCCTCATCAAGCTGTACAGCCTGGTGTTTGCCCACTTCCAGAACCACCTCACTCACCTCCCTGAGACACCGTCTCCGTACCCTTCCCAGGCAGCACTGGCCTCTCATAGGTGGGGCTTGCAGCTCGGAGAACTGCCCTCCGCGGACGACACGTGCACCAAGATTTGCACGGCCGTTCAGGTCCTGCTCGATGCGTTCCAGTCCGTGGAAGACGCTGTTGGTCTTCCGCGGTCCATCAGTGTGGTGAAGCAGAGGGCATGTGATGTCGAGGGTATGGACTTTAGTGCTGAGCTGGGGAGGACGTCGCTTTGGACGGATTACATGGTGCACTTTGTTTTTAGGTCGACTGTGGTCATGGCTGATACCGAGGAGTGTGAGGAGATGCGGGAGTTATCCATCAAGGTTAGATCGCTCAAGGCGTTGATACGTGAGAAGATGAATCTTTAACAGTACGGAGAAACAGGGCATGGGAGGATCATACACTTACGGCAAAGGGCTTTATAGAGTAGAGATCTAGGATGCATACTACAAACTTTGAACTCACGGATTTCAGAAGAGACCACTGACGACATTCATGATCATGGGTTACTGGGAGTACCACGTTACGGCCCTCTTGTGCTAACGTTGCATTTAAAGTATCGTCGCATCACAATGTTACTTTTTTATTTCATTACAGAGACTCTCGTGATCCATAAATCTAAGCCTTTCAGTCTATGTAGATCTTGGCCATATCTCACCAAAAACTCACATGTTGCTCGAGGACGGATCTATACTCATCATCTCCCGGCTTTCTCTAGTCATCTCACTATCATACAACAATGATTTTCGCAGAATCGGTTTAAGCTACTAGAGATAATCTGTTATGGGACTCTATAGAGCCATAATAAGATGCATTGTAAAATCCTCATAAGAAACACTCAACACTCGAGACTCGTGCCTTAGAACCCTCTAACGCGAACTTATATTAAGTTTCTTTTCATCATCTAAGATAGAGGAAGAATTACTCAAGTCTATGTCCATAGTCTTCTCATGTGCATATATAAAGTAGGAGCCTTTTTGTCGTCATTTCGCAGGTCATTATTCTGCCGTGCTAAGAAGCGACAGTGACCTGGCCGTGTCAAGTGAATGGTGAATTTGTGGATCTGATCTAGACATACCCGTAGAAACACGATAAAGAGTACATATTATCTATTTCTTCCGTCAAAGGGTCTATATCATCCCTTCCTCGTGCCAAATTTAGCCTCATCTAAATTTGACGTTCTGAGGCTGAATTGTCGCTGGGGGCTTATCGTCACTGCCGGCTCACTCACATCGTTAGTCTCTCAATGCCCGCAGCCACTTCTTCGTTTCGGAGAATTGATAACGAGTAGACTTGCGTCACCAAGGCGGAGTTGCAACTGCCAAGAAAACGTCCTTCGTGCCGATTGGGCTTTCGGCTCTCGATGCCACGTCTTACATACATACAGCCCTACCAAAATCACCGAAAAAGCCCGATTAGCGCACCGAAAGATATGAACTGAAGAGACTCTCTCTCTCTCTCAAAGTAAGTGGTATACTCGTAGGGTTATACTTTTCTATGATCTAATATTGCAGTACTTATGATATTAAGACAAAGTGTAGGCGTAGGGTGATATGAGAAGAAATGGACGTGTCATGTTAAAACTAGAGCTATCTCGTGTAATTCAAGTGTCCATTTGGAACACAAGTTTCTTTCCGGAAATCCTCTTTTCCCTGATATCTTCAATCCCGCGAAGGACTTCAGGAAGTCCTCCCTGCTTCACTACTATCGGATGAGGTCGTATCGACCCTTTATCAAGCAGCTCCCGTAGAACCGCCGTCCAGTAAACACCAAATTCCCCCATCTCAGCACTAGCAGGTCTCCAATGAGGCTCCGGCCAACGAATCTCCTTGCCCAACATCTGCGGCCCCATGATCCAGTCTGGCTTGACAACCTTGCGCGTACGCGCCACAGCTTCAGAGTAAGGCTCCAGAGCAGTGTATCTACCACCAGCGCGACCAATGGCCTGGTAGCAGAACTGCATGCTTGACGTGGTAGAGATGCAATCTAGCGCATACTTGATCTTGTTCTTGGTATGCTTTCTGATGTCCGCTGTGCAGTTGGGATCTTGGTAGTCAAAGACAGCGCTGGCGCCGTATGACTTGACGAGGTCAAAGTTGCGGGGCGAGCATGTTGCGATGGGTTCAAAGCCTGCTAGCTTGACGAGCTGGACTGCCGCAGTGCCCGTGGCTGAAGAACCGCCGTAGACCAGGACAGGTATGGGCTCCGTGGTCGGCTTAAGAGGAGTGCCGGGTAGACCGAGACTCTTGAACAAGGCCAGGCCGGTAGTCATGAAGCTGATGCCCAGCGACGCACCCTCTTCAAAGCTGAGATGAGGCGGAATCTTGAGCAGAATCCACTCCACGGAGGCAGTATACTCGGCAAAAGCACCAACATGAGGGTTCAGCGGGTTCATACCCATTGCAGCAGTACAAACGCGATCTCCGACGTTGATATCGCACTTTGTAGCTTCAGGGCCGACTATTTCTACGACGCCTGCAAAGTCGAAGCCTGCGACTGCACCTGGCGTGACGTATGGCCCGATCATCTTTGTATCAACGGGGTTCACTGACAGAGCTTTTGTCTTGATCAGGACTGAGTCCCCTGTGATGTCAGGGATCGGCTCTGTCTGGGAAAGACGAATGGTCCCATCTGGGGTGCCGACCAAGGCGCTTTGCAGTCGTTGACCCATGATGATGAATTAGGTGATGAGAGGGAATGATGAATTGTAGAGTTGGGGGACTGTGAAGATTGCTTGACTTGATATGACGAAGACGCAAAAGGAATGTATTTGTCATGTCTGGCAATGGAACTGATTTCGTAACTAGAACCCCGACACGTTTCGGCGAGCGGTGCAATATCGCGACATACCGAAAAAGTCCGACGAGACATTGGACGGCATATTCAACGATCTCGGAGTTTCTGGACATGGAAAAAAACGGGCAATTCTACTCCGTGTCAAATCATCCACAGTCAGTTTGTCCATCGGGATTAGAGATGGACGAGTGCTTTTTCGAGTTCGCATTGTTTATGTATTAAACAGCGTTAGCAGGGCAGCCCCGAACAATTTACTTAGATGCAGCAGGGAGTGGAACGACAGAAAGGAACGCAACAATTAATATACTATATATGGTGATTGTGGAAAGGCGTATACTATTACATAGGTACGGAGTGCCTACTTATTGAGACCATCTTCTGATGCCGAAGTAAGTATGTAATTCTGAGCATGATCGTTAGTCCTACCCTGGACTAAGCACTCTTGCGATAGGACCCCCACTTGCTTGGCAACGCGACGCGAGTCATCCAAGTCAATTAAGCACGGCTAAATGACTCCCCTCTAACCAGCCAAGATCTCGGCATATAAATCACAGCGGCTAAATTGATCAACACTGCATTCAACCCTGTCATTTCCAACAAAAATAGCCTATAGCAACTCAAATTTCTAGCTCAACTGACATTGACCTCCCGTCCCAACACCCAAGAAGGCCTCCTCATCTGCACCTCCAATAACCGACTCGACAAACCCGGTATTACCCGTCCCCTCTGGCCCAGGCGCACTCGTAGGATAATTCCAGAAGATACGCTCATGATCAACCTGAAACATCCACCGCTGGCCCCCTGTTCCCTTTGCAACGAATTCAACTATATACCCGATATTCTTGTCGCGATACGCACCTGTGACTACATTCTCAGAGGATGCGTCGTAGCGCTTGCTGAGAATCAAAGAGTCTTGAGAGAAATCCTGCTCTTCGTAGGTGAGGACTTGGTTAGCTGCGCATATGAGCTTGCCGTCGCGGTACAGTCTTGCCATTGTGTATGGCTTGCAGCCGCTCTCGCGATCAGAAAAGATGCGCATTATCTGCATTGCGTAGGGACCGACTTGGGCACGGAGATAGTATGACTCAGTCATGAAGTGGGCCCAGGAGTATAGTGTCCAGACACGATCCATGCCGCCGTTTGCAGATGGGCCGAGGATGAATTGCTCAGAAGTTGCACTGTCCTGGGAGAAGAGAGTGAGGTCTGCTTTGACAGAAGCTCTCCCCATGGGGCGGACGTAGGGTACATGCGGTCCCACATGAGGGTTGGTGTCAAGACCTGAATCTCCCGGTAGAGCCTCAAGCTGCATGGTACCTTCTACAACGCCAGGCACAGAAAAAGCCAAGACAGTCAAGGAATAGTCTCTGGTCACAGAGAAAGAGACTTTACTTCCAGTAGCTGCATCTTCCCACAGAGCAGAGATATGGCCATCTTCAGAAGTGACCATTGACTCTGGGAGGTACAGATCACGGTGCCAGGTATGTCCATCAGGCCAGACAGTGAAGATCTGAACTTTGAAGCCGCCGTGCTTTAGGCCCTCGGCACTTCTGTTGATGCCGATAGATATGGCAGACTGGTCATCTCTGGAGACACCGTCAAAGTACCAGAGCTCCCAGCCCGTTTGAGAGATTGCATCGACGAACTTGGGGAAAACATTGCCTGAGCCTGGGATGTATGGTGAAGGGGTGACTGCTTCCGTGGAGATTGAAGTCTCGATATCGAGACGAGATATGAGCTTCTCAGACATTTTGGGCAAAAGAAGGTGTATTGTGAATAAGCGTGAGTTGAGGATGACAGATGTGAAGGATGAAGGTTAAGCCACTAGAAGGCAATAAAGATCGGATTCTTGAGACTGTACAATTCATTGACCGTCCCAGTCGATTTCTAAGCAATATCAGTCAGACTACTCCGTGTTCGGTCGCCGACCAAGCAAACCGAAAAAGTCCGGCCAACTTGCGATGCTTACATCGCATATTGGCCTGCTACTCCGCTACCGAAATTGTCCGAGCAGGATTCGTTCGACCTTCCCAACAGAGGAATTATGTTGATTCAGAACAGTTGTACCACCAATCAATAGAGATACTGTTACCATGAAACCAAGTAACAGGGCTCGTTGTTGCGCAGTTGAACCGACCTCGGGGAGCAAGAACACATCGGATCTCATGATAGGTTTCAAGTCGAAGTTGGCAAAATGTAAGCGAGATATTTTGTCATCTAGGATCAAGGCCCCGAGCACCTTTTGTCTCCTAGACCGAATAACACCGGCATCAGCATCGTGAGCCGATGTGCTTCTGATATAAGGAACAGCACTTCGCTCTGTCCTACTCAAAAGCTCAAGCACAAACTCAACTGGTCAATTGCTCGATCAATCTCAACATTGCACACAGCGACCCATCATCGTCTCTCACCACCTTCAAAATCCCTTCCACCATGTCTGACAACGAGCCAATTGCCATCATCGGCAGCGCATGCCGCTTCCCAGGAGATTCCTCCTCCCCCTCCAAACTCTGGGATCTCCTCAAAGCTCCCCGCGATCTGCTCACCAAGGTCCCCTCCAACCGCTACAACGCTG